GGGGGGGGGGGGGGGATTCTTGCATCGGGGCCCTGAGGTCACTAGATACGCCACGGGGTTTTGCGTTCCCATAAGTCTATGGAGATGCAGAACGTGCTTGAAGCGGGTCACAAGGAGGTCAACTGCAGGTCAAATGCCCCTTTCAATGAGTTCTGAATGTTCTCTAACTGGTGCCATCAACACAAGTCCATCAAGCCCTTCGTTATAATCTCCTTCGTCATTGCCACCAATCAGAGAGCCAGCCTGGTAAGGGGTAATGGGGGAGGGGGGGGGATTCAGGGACACTCTCTTTGTAATCTCTGACAGGCTAAGGGTCTTTATAAAAGTTTAAAGAGCTGAGAGAACATTTTTTGGGGTTTTTTCGCCTCCTACAGAACTCTTTACAAATATCGGGCACCCTCCTGAGTGACATCATGTTAGTGCAGTCAGTTCACTTGGATGTGGCTCACGCTCGCACACGGAAAAGCTGCAAGCGCTGGTGACCTCACTATAAAACCACAAGGACTTCCCAATTTTACAAATGATCTTTATGAGCCCGGACATTACCCAACAAACCCACAAAAGGTCATTCCAGCGACTTAAAAACTGTTACCCTGAAGCACACGTGGACACATAGAGAGTCAAAAGGCTAATGAGTGCCACGGACAAGGGGGCAACGAGGATCTGGGGCTGTGCACGCCGACACCAGGGGTATTCATACCACGAAAAGCACCTAAAACTCTCTCACAGAACTTCTCGTAGTCCTTGTACTTTCTGACTGACCTTCAAACCACCATTGGGGAACCTCTGGACTGCCAACGGTTCATTTCCCACATCCAGAGCCCTTAGCAGTCTTCTCGGCCCTCGCCTCCTTCCAGAGCCCTCTGGTCTTCCAGTAAATGGGCCAAGAGGCAGCGCACATTGATGCCGTGTCACCATAACATGGATATTAATATCTGGTCTTTGAGTCTTCAAAAAAGTTTGCACATGGCTACTGACTAGGGTTGCCACCTGTCCCGGATTCGCCTGGATGGTCCGGCTTTTGAGTCCTGTATGTGCTGTGTCTGGCTTTCAGCTGGCCTGAAACCCAGAAACAACACATACAGGACTCAAAACCCGGACTGTCCAGGTGAATCCGGGACAGGTGGCAACCCTACTACTGACCCGACCAATCAGCAAGGGTGGGCCACACTCACCGACAACTTAGGAGGCTGAGGTAACAGAAAGGGGATGGATAAGGGGGTTAAGGGAATCCCGTACCGGATCACTTCAGACAGCGGAGCAGCTTTGGGAATCCGACCAGTGGAGTGGATGCCGGTTTGGATTTGGCGGATTCGATCCTACAGTAGAAGACTCCGCGAGACTCTAGCCAGTTGGTCCACCAGTCCTCGCCTGTAACTGAACTATTCATCTTTGAGTGGACCTGACCTCTATGCTGGGCTTCATTGCTAATGGATTGAACTGTGTTATAAAACCAGTAAAGTGTTCGGTGCATTGCGGTGCCCCCCAACGCACTCTACAGAAGGTGCCAAAAGGACCGGCACTGCGGTGCCCACAATGCACATACCGGGTGGTGAAAAAAAGGTACAGGTCCAATTTTTGTCCCATTGCTGTTCTAGTTCAATGGGCTTCCTTAAAGGAGAACTATGAGGGGGGTGATTTTCACTTCTCCTCATAGTTCGAGCCGACGTGTGACAATGAAACTGTCACACGTCGGCTCAATAGATCGGGAAGTGAGAGAACACATACCGGCGCTCGCTCACTTCTCCATCCTGTCCCTGCAGATAGCCGTGACTGTCACTCACGGCTCCCTGCAGGGATTCCCCCCTCCCCTGTCCGATCCTCCAGCGCTGACTGGCAGAACGGACGGGGGAGGGGGTGGGTACGGCTGGCTCTGCCTCTAGATAGGCAGAGCCAGCTGTCAATCACGCAGCTGGGTGGATCCAGACAGTAATGCCGGGGTCCGTCCCGGCTGCGGCGGTCTCAGTATACCGCGAGCTGTAGCTGTAGCTCCCTATATACTGAGCTTTGGGTCACGGGAGGATGCTAGTTTGTGTCCCCCCGTGACCCTGTGGAGAACTATGGGGAAAAGCACTGAGCCCATAGTTCTCCTTTAACACAACGCACGTTACCCTGCAAAATACTCCACATAATGCACCACAACCGACCGTGTATGCTGGAGGCCTTTAGGCATTGCTAAAGAAAACATTTGCGGGGCTTCGATTTGGTCCGTGTTCAGGGGGACACGTCAGGGTCAGCGGTTTTACTATAGCCATAGCGGCCCAGGCGACTACAATGGGGCCTGGGGGTGGAAGGGGGCCCCATTAGGTTGCTGAGGCAAATTAAACATAGAAGATGTGAAGATAACACAGTACTGTGTCATTAAGGGTTGGAGTTCTTCCCCAGGAAGTGGAAAGGGTTAATTTTATTGCTTTGTGGTCTTCCGTGAGACAACTGCGACAAGCAACACTTCGGTCTGCGATGTGTTATTTCCTCTGAGTATATATATTCTCACAAGCAACCACTGTATTGAATGATCTCCCTCCCACCTCCGGTACTGTGAGGCGAGGGGAGGGGGTGTCAGAATGTGATGTCATGGAGTCGGGGTGATGCGGAGAGGAAAGGGGGAGACTGCAAACATGTACAGTATACGACATATATGGTAACGGCGACAAAGTATTGGGTTATGATTGATGCCAACAGCGTCTGTAGAGCGGTATTGGTATTACACGGGCCTATTATAAGCTCAGAGACATTCTAGGACCTCCTATTGGTAATGGGCGCAATCTGTCACCAACACGTTCTGAATGCCGGTGTTCTATCAAAGTTTGTGACTGCGTTAGAATGTGTAACCGGTGACGGCCAATCGGCATCGAGCCGGGCCAAACAGCATGGAGCCAGCTTCCCGGCTCCATGTTTCCTCGAGGCACTGCCGGTCAGAGGAAATCTCCCTCTGATACCCGGTATCGGCAACGGTACTAGTATCGGTGTCAGTGCATCCCTACTTTTAAATATACTTTGACGCTCCATCATTCATAGTAACGCATTGCAATCTGTGTATGAGAATCTCGTACTCATCTCATTGGGTTCAAAACTAACTAGCGTCCTCCCGTCACCCTAGGCTCAGTATACCGCGAGTTGTAGCTGTATACTGAGACGCCGCAGCCGGAGCGGATCCCGACATCGATGTCTGGATCCGCCCAGCTGCGTGAGTGACAGCTGGCTCTGCCTATCTAGAGGCAGAGCCAGCTGTACCCGCCCCCTCCCCGTCCGTTCCGCCAGTCAGCGCTGGAGGATCGGAGCGGGGAGGGGGGAATCCAGCCCCTCCCCCGTCACGGCAGAGAGCCGTGACAGGATCGAGAGGTGAGCGAGCGCCGGTATGTGTTCGCTCACCTCCCAATCTACTGAGCCGACCTGTGACAGTCTCATTGTCACAGGTCGGCTAGAACTATGAGGTGAGTGAAAAGCACCTTCCCCCCTCCCCCCTCATAGTTCTCCTTTAAACTCCCAAATGAATCCCGATCAATCGAATATCCATCTGCCAGCAAAGTATCTCTGAGCACTCGCAGCCATCATGTTTCCGAACAGCTCCGACTCTCTCAGCTCGGCAGACTCCAGCAGCCGTCCATCTACTAGCTTGGAGAAGGGAGGAGGAAGGAGGGGGAGCAGGGAAGTGTCTGGCCTTGCTGTGCCTGTGTGTTTGTGGAGACACGCACAGCTTACTAGCACACACAAGGGTGGACCCATAGGACCCTGCAGATCAGGATGTGTTTCTGCAAACGCGGTGCAATGCATTTCAACGCATTTTGTTTTTTCTTTAGTGGCTTGTAGGGGAATTTGTGTACATTTTTGTGCATTCCAGACCAGAAAAAAATTGACATGCATGCATTTTTTCCACGAACGCACTGGAACTAAACCGCAATGGTGGGATCTAAGCTCAGAAATACCATAGGAATACGTTGGCATGCGTTTTCTAATGCAGACAATAAAAGTTCTGGTCCGGACATGGTGTAATTGGGCCTTCGGAGGGGATCTTTTTTTATTTAACAATCCTGGAGTCTGGCGTCCACCAAACACTGAAATATCCGTTTTTGACCCTTTAACAGGCTGTGAGTTATACACAAAGTGATGACATGTGGGGTGAGAAGTGTTCGAGCTGAACTTGTATACAAAGAAGCAAAGTCTCCAGCAATGATACATTTATGACATTGTAACATTTGTATTCCACGCTGTATAGCCGGATGGGAGGAGCTCATGATGGCGGTCCACCGGCGGACGCAGGGGGCACAGAGTGTGGGTTGTGTGCAGGGATGAGAAGGGGTGACGTAGTACATATAGGAGGGGATTATAGAGCTGCAGAGCCTTGTACTGTGTGGGGGAGGGGACAATGGGCACACATTATACATAATACATAAAGATCCCTTATTCAATAATTGGGATGTTTGGAGCCTGCCAGGTCCCTCCTGTGTTGTGACACATGGAATGTACGGAGGAGGAGGAGGAGTGACGGGTTTGCATGAGGGAGGGGGGAGGGGATGGACTATACACCATGTAGTGCTGGCATGGCGGAGGAGGTGTGCAGCTGGACGGACGGGGAAAAGACAAGTTTTCTTTCGTAGTTGCCCCCCCCCCCCGGAGCTCCAGCCGCAGATAATACAGGTCCTCTTTATTCTGCAGCGCCGCTGACCCCTTGTGCGCAGGAGGCAGGGACCGGCGACTGGGTCAGCGCAGGACGCGATGATCTGCATACTGCTGGTGGCTGGACACGGCACGTTGCTGGAGAGTCACATCAAGGTCCATCTCTTGCACTTCCTATCTGATATTATCCTTGTTGTGTATTTACTTTAAGGGCCCGTTCACACCATCGCGCTGTACGTGCGCTACAACGCAGGACCGCGGCGCGCTACAAACGCATGAAAACTACTTATTATAATCAATGAGGCTCGTCACATCAGCGCGCTGGGTCAGAGGGCAGCCCGTTGCTTGCTGCGCAAGTTGCATTCTGGACCAGTTGCGGCGCTGAAAACGCGCTAAAAAACGCAATATGCATTTTTCAAGTCACGTGTTCATATTTCCCATGTGCCAGGAAGACGCATGTAAAGGGAACGCAGACTGAATGTGAAATGCATCCTGCGTCGCGTCGGATATTAATGTCGCGGATTCAAAACGCGTTACGTGCTTTGAGGAAAACACATGTACGTTTTATAACGTGATGGTGTGAATGGGCCCTGAGAATCTGATTCTGTTTGGCTGCTGAGAACCAACAAGGGACATACGGCATGCTGGGACTTGTGGTTGTGCAGATTGGCCAAACCTGTATATTAGAGGGGTTCAGCGCTGATGTATTCACAACCCAAAACTCACCTGTTTCCTTGTAATGGGGGAGGAGCTAATGTACCCAATACCATCACAAACCATGGGGCTGATTGCTGGCTGAAGCAATACCACCAGTAGATGGCGCTGAAGATAATGGGAAACTCCCATGCTCCTCGGCACCATCTAGTGGTGGCAATACCTTGAACGCTATACGTTGGGTGAAAGATTTATAACTCCGCCCCTATGTGTCTCTGCCCATGGCTTCCATTACACCCCGATGAGTCTGTTTAGGTAGATGCAGAACGCGGGGAAGGTTCCCATTGAATTCTGGGAGCCGTTTGTATCCCTTTGTTCAGTCAGTGACATAGCAGGGAGGAGCAGTGACCACAATTCTGAATCAAAATTGAAGCACATGTACCCGGTATAAGGGCAGGTGTGCACCATTTTCCGGACCAGATCTGGAATGCAGCGCATTGCGCTTTTGCAGCGTTTGCATTTATTTTTTTTTAGTTTAAAATGGCCTTACAGGTGCGTTCCATGCGTTTTTGATGCGTTTCTATGCGTTCCAGTCCATTCCAGACCAGACAAAATAGGACAAGCAGTATTTTTCTGGTCTGGCCTGGAACGGACTGCGCTGGTGGGAACAGAGGCCAGAAATAGCATAGGGATACATTGGGACGCATTTTGGGTCCGGAAACAGCCTGATCTGGTCTGGTCTGAGGATGATCCGGACCTGGTGTGAATGGGCCCTCAGGGGCAACCTAAAAGTCAGGTATTTTACGCTGCAGAGAGGAAATGTCCTCCCATGGACAGGAAGTCAGTTGTGCAATGAGAATCTCTTCACCCCCAAAGGTTTAAGATGGCGCCATTTTCAGTTGTAATAAACTCATAAACGTTTGCTGGGACAGGAAGTGAGGGAAAATCTCCCCAATTTGGGGACAACAAGAGAAAAAGGAGCCCGGCAGAGGTTCTATCGCCACCCGAAACTAAAAAAAAAAAATTTTGGTAGTGTTCCACTCCGGATCCAGTTTGAAGGGCAGCTCAGTGTGATAAGTAACATTATACCGGATCCCTACTCCATGACTTAAAGGAGAACTATGGGGTCAGTGTTTTTCCTCATAGTTCTCCTTAGGGTAACGGGAGGACACAAACTAGCGTCCTCCTGTCACCCTAGGCTCAGTATACCGCGAGCTACAGCTCCTTATATACAGAGACGCTGCAGCCGGAGCGGATCCCGACGTAGATGACGGGATCCGCCCAGCTGCGTGAGTGGCAGCTGGCTCTGCCTATCTAGAGGCAGAGCCAGCTGTACCCGCCCCCTCCCCCGTCCGTTCCGCTAGTCAGTGCTGGCGGATCGGAGTGGGGAGAGGGGAATCCAGCCCCTCCCCTGTCACGGCAGAGAGCCATGACAGGATCGAGAGGTGAGCGAACGCCGGTATGTGTTCGCTCACCTCCCGATCTACTGAGCCGACCTGTGACAGTCTCATTGTCACAGGTCGGCTAGAACTATGAGGTGAGTGGAAATCACTCATCTCATAGTTCTCCTTTAACATTCCTCCATCCGCCTCCTCTGCTCTTGTTCTGAACACAATTACCCGATAACTTGCACAATTGCCTCATTGAGCCGAAATCTTCAATTTCGCAGCAGGAGTCACATTGTGAATATTAGTTAGGGGTGGAGTGAGGAACGATTCATCATTATTGGTCTCTATGACCTCAGTGTGAGACCCCAACCTGGTCCTGCGGGGACACCCTACAAGCTGAACTCCTGATTCCCCTCTCTGAATGGCAATCTTTGTCTACTGCACGAATCCACTGAGTGACACCAACATTATTGTCGCCGGCATTGGCGTCACCGAGTCCCTGGTGGACTGTCCATAGGAATGTATAATGTACTATAGAGAGTTCAGTGATGGACGCCAGGACTGGGGGAAGAGTTCTGCTCTATGTAGAAACGTTGCCTTGATCCTTTATTTACCTGATATTAACAAAAAAAAGACTCCAACCGCCGTGTGTCAGTGCTACCTGTACCCCAGGGGTAATTCTGAGGGCCCAATTGGGTCTATCTATGGGCACAGAATAAATGTGGGGTAATTTTTGAGGGCTTGTTTGGGACTTCTGAGGAAACAGTGCGTAATTCTCAGGTGGTAATTTCAAGGGCCCAGAGCCTCAAGTGTCATTTCTTAGGGCTAAGGGGGTGAATCTAAAGGCTCTGGGGGTAATTTCAGGGACCGATGGGGTGATTCTAAAGGCTCTGCGGGGAATTCTGAGGACCCAGTGGGTGATTCTAAAGACTCACAAGGTAATTCTGAGGGCCCAGGGGGTGATTTATGAAGGCTCAGGGGTAATTCTGAGAACACATGGGGTGATTCTAAAGGCTCAGGGGGAATTCTGAGAGCTCAGGGGGTGATTATGAAGGTTCAGGGGGTAATTCTGAGGACCCATGGGGTAATTCAAAAGGCTCTTGTGTAATTCAGAGGACCCAGGGGAGATTCTAAATCCTCAGGAGGTCATTTTGAGGGCTCACGGGGTAACTCTAAAGGCTCAGGGGTAATTCTGAGGACCCAGTGGGTGATTCTAAAGACTCACAAGGTAATTCTGAGGGCCCAGGGGGTGATTCTTAAGACTCACAAGGGAAATCTGAGGGCCCAGGGGGTGATTCTAAAGGCTCTTGTGTAATTCTGAGGACCCAGGCGAGATTTCAATTCCTCAGGAGGTCATTTTGAGGGCCCAGGGAGTAATTCTGAAGGCTCAGGGGTAATTCTGAGAACCCGTGGTGAGATTCTAAAGCTCAGAGAGAATTCTGAGGACCCAGTAGGTAATTCTAAAGTCTCAGGGGGTACTTTTGATGGCTCAGGGGGTGATTCTAAAGACTTGGGAGCAATTGCGGGGACCCAGGGGGTGATTCTAAAGTCTCAGGGGGTACTTTTGATGGCTCAGGGGGTGATTCTAAAGACTTGGGAGCAATTGCGGGGACCCAGGGGGTGATTCTAAAGGCTCATGGGGTACTTTTGATGGCTCAGGGGGTGGTTCTAAAGGCTTGGGAGTAATTGCGGGAGACCAAGGGGGTGATTCTAATGGCTCAGAGGTAATTCAGAGGACCCAGGGGGGTAAATCTGATTCTTATCATAAGAGTTTAGCTTGTTGGAAAAAATAAACCCTCATCACACTGATATCATTAAGAGGTTTAGATATTTAATTGCAGAACTGATAATTTGCGGAGTGAATCCACCAGTAGGAAGGCTCGCTTCAGATTGGATGACCCGCACCCCGGGGGACTCTTATACACATCCCTGCCAGTTCCAGACAAACTTGTCAGCCCAGATTCATAGCGGGCCGGTCTGGGGGAAGAGGACGGACCCTTCAGGGCAGGGAGTCTATTGTTGCCATTCCTCTGATACAAATAAAAGTAACAAATTACACAAAATGATTTTAATCTCTTATACAGAATGACCGGAGCGGTTTATACAGCTTCTTAGAAGATGTTCCCAAAGCTCTGTTACCTGGAGTGGGGGGGAAGAAAATTCTGGACTTCTGGTGGAAGGCGGTCAACACGTAAGCCGCCAATTTTCTTTCAATTCTTTGCAATAATAATAATATACACTGAGTGGCCAGATTATTATGACCCCCCCCATCAGTACTTGGTTGGGCCGCCTGGTGACTCCACGAGATGGTGAAAGGTGATGCGAGGAATCTGACACGGCACTGTTGCCCTTCTGTTGTCTTGTACCAGTCTTGCCCCTCCCCCGTTCTGCCCTAACATTGACTAGTCGCTGACGGCCACAATTCGCACGTTCAGACCCAGATTTTCGGCTGACAGTCCGGTCTTTAAACACTTTAACAATGAGCCGCTCCTGAACATGTAACGAATTCTGCTGTTTTGCTGATACTCGCTCCATGGCTCCGAGCGCCAACAATCATCCCGCGTTCAAAGGCTGTTACATCGCGTTGTTTCCCCGAATCTTCCCAATCACTTCTACTGTCGTGGTAACCAACCCGCTTCCCTATTTATAATGGTCCGGCCCTCTAGCAACTTCAGCGCCAAATTATAGCTAATTTGCCTACAAACGTCAGGTGGTCATAATAATCCGGCCACTCGGTGTATATAATAATCCGGCCACTCGGTGTATATAATAATCCGGCCACTCAGTGTATATAATAATCCGGCCACTCGGTGTATATAATAATCCGGCCACTCAGTGTATATAATAATCCGGCCACTCGGTGTATATAATAATCCGGCCACTCAGTGTGTATCATAGATGATACTTCAGAGATCCTGCCAGGTGATCCCCACTTTTACATCTGAAGACAAATACCTGCCCAAACCCCACTTCTAATTATCCCGGGACCGCCCACCCGTGGCCCCCCTAATCACTATAATAAATGCCACATGGATTTGTCATTTATTTGAAAAGAATTGAATATTCTCGGAGTATTCTGTCTTCTGATTGGATGTTCTTGGGGTATTAGGATCGAATGTTCATAGGATATGTTGCCTCCAGTACTGCTTATATTCACCAGAAATCCATACAATAAGAAATATAATAGTAAACACATTCTGGTAACATTTAACTTGACAACGTTGTAACAAACCGCGTTCATTCACAATGTGAATCTAAAGGAGTTGTAAAGTCCCGGAATCTCCGCTCCCGGTATAACATCGGCATTGTAATAAGAATACATACTGGAGATGTCTCTGATAATACAATTAAAGCTCGCATGAAAAAAGCCCTTCTATGTAGGGAGCGCCGCCTTCGGTCTGCCCATCACTTCCAACAGCTTCCTGGATTCCCAGTGTGCATTGCGTCTCTCTCCCTGCTGCTTGTTGTGATGCAATCTCCATTTCTCAAGTCTACATATCCCATCATGCATTGCTTCCACCAAGTAATGATAACGTTACATTGTTCAAGACTACATGTCCCATCATGCATTACTTCCAGCAAGTAATGATAACGTTACACTGTTCAAGACTACATGTCCCATCGTGCATTGCTTCTAGTAAGTAATGATAACGTTACACTGTTCAAGACTACATGTCCCATCGTGCATTGCTTCCAGCCATCAATGATAATGTTACATTGTTCCCGACGCTGAGTTGCAGTTCAGGAGGCAGGCTCTGTGAGAGCGGTGACACAAGGAAGCTGAGTGACACTGAGTGATCAGCGCATGGAGGAAGTCCATCCTATGCGCATCTTCAATACACAAGTTTACAGACTTCTAGATGGATCTGATTATTACGAGGGGGAGAGAACTGATGGACGTTCAATATAGAAATGCAGATTTATTTTTCGTTGTCAACCAGAGAGACCTTTCAGATATCTGAAAATAACATTTTGCACTTCACAAGGGTAACATTCAGTGGCGTCACAAGAGGGGTGCGGGGGGTGCGGCCTGCACCAGGGTGACACCATCGTCTCGGCGGGGTGACACTCGGTTACCGCTCCGGGTGTCACCCAGCCTCGGGACGCCCCTGGTAACATTCAGGACTGTTGTGTGAAAGCCGACACATCCGTACAGTACATGGCTTATAAATAGACCCCAAAATGTGACTCTTTGTTTTCTTCTTTCTCTCTGCTGTAGGAGGCAGCTCTTCAGTGAAGTCTATCTGGTGACCAACGCAGACAAGTAAGTGTTCATTTTCTTTCATTTTTATGGTTATACAGGATTTATAGAGCGCCAACAGTTTGCGCCGCGCGTTACAATATAAGGAAGACATCACAATCACAATACAATTCAAGACAAGATGGTGAGGAGGGCCCTGCCCCTGAGGGCTTACAATCTAAAAAGGAGGGGGAAGTGATACATGAGGAGGTGGGTGTGGGGATGAATGGTTGAGCGGTTAGTTTGAGGTGGGATAGGCTTCACTGAAGAGAAGACTCTTTAGGGAACGCCTAAAGACAGTCAAGGTGGGAGATAGATGGACAGGTTGGGGTAAAGAGTTCCAGAGGATGGGAGAGACTCTAGAGAAGTCCTGGAGGCGAGGATGGGAGGAGGTGACGAGGGAGCTGGAAAGCAGGTGGCGATTGGAAGAGCGGAGGGGACGGTTATGGTGATACTTTGAGATATATCCGGGGGCAGAGTTGTGGATGGCTTTGTAAGTGGTAGTGTCCCTTTGAGATATTCTTTTCCGCCTCCATCATCCTTCTCTGGCTGCAGTCAATCTTTTCTCGCCGTCTCTTCTGGTTGTAGAGGAAGAAATGGTCGTCCATGTTGGTATTTGTAGTGAACAGTTACCTGAGAGGCCAATTATGTGTTTATGTGCCATGTGCTATTCTTTATGAATGGCACCCCAACGCACCTTAACAAATCACAATGTACGGTGTCCTGTGAGATTCCAAACAATTGCATCCTGCCCCGTTTTTGCACGCGTTGTGGTTTGTTCCAGCGCATTCACTTCGAATGGCCTGTACATCAACACATGACAAAAAGAGTCGCCATGAGCTGAATGAAGTCAATCAATGTCTTTATGCAGATTTGGGCCACTACAATATAGCGAGCAGACCCCAGAACTGTGTTGAATGATTTGTGTGGTGATCAAGACCCCCTTGTGACTCCGCCCCTTTGTCGCCAGGTATAAACACTACGAGCGCTGGGCGACCGCCAACGATTTCCCCGTGGAGAACATTATTAACGATGGCACCACCACGTACGAGACCAGGCTGGGCGCAGTGGCGGACCTGGAGCTCGCCATCTCCAGCAAGCGGATCAGCGATGACATCATGGTGGTGAGTGCGTTTTCTGCGTCTGATCTATTCCTTGGGATAAGGATCAATAACCCCGCAGCTGGGGGAAGGGGGGGGGGCTATGTGGAAGCGCTCCTGATAACATTGGCAGATGTCTATAACAGTTCTCTCACCTGTACAAAGCGACATTTTCCTGCTCTGCCTATTTCTCTATGGTAGCAGCCATTTTAGGTGAAAGAAGGCTAAAAAGTGATATTTGCCAGATAGGAAGACTGCACAGAAAATTAATATCCACCAACCACCCCGCCATCATGTTATATTATGGAAATCACATTTGCATAATTATTGGTTTGTCACGTTCCCTTCAATTAAAGGGAAAGTTTAATGGTTATTGTTTAATCTTCCTTTCTTTTTTTTTTAAGTTTTCAAGTTACCGATTTTTAATATCCTTTTTTTTAACATTGTTTTAGAGTATTTATTTTACAAATCAATATTGCAATGGTGCACCCGGGTCATTTAGTTTGCAGCCTGCATGCTTGTTAGCTGCCTGTATATAAATGACTACTCCTGGCAGTTCGCTCTCCATTAGAAAAGAGGGATGGAGGTGTGTCTTTTCCCTAGATGGGGGCAGGCCTTTCCTCTGAATGCAGGAGTGTCTTAGCTCTGGGCGTGTCTTGGCTCTGGGCGTGTCTTGGCTCTGGGCGTGTCTTGGCTCTGGGCGTGTCTTGGCTCTGGTTAAGCCTGATGAAGGGACCCTGCGTGGCCCCGAAAGCGCTTGTTTTTACTTGACATGGTTCTTTTTAAATGAACACATGGTTATCCTGAAATGATTTTTGGTATGCTGGTGACATTTCTTCAATTTATTCCTGTAACCAGCGGTGCCATCCGCAGTCAATACAAGCACCTCCCCTGTCGTTGGGGCATCCGGTAAGGAGTGCAAAAAGTTTCTTTCTATATTCTGAACTTAGCTCTGGGCGTGTCTTAGCTCTGGGCGTGTCTTAGCTCTGGGGGTGTCTTAGCGCTGGGCGTGATCTTCCTCTGGACAGGGGTGTGTCCATTCCCTAAATAATTCAGCAGTCTGTGTAGTCTGATCTCTCTTGCTCATAAGGTTACAGCACGGCAGTTGTTAAAAGTAAACATGCCAAGAGAAGAATATGGCGACTGCTATTGCTGGAATTGCCAGTTGCCTGGCTTTCATGCTGACCTTCTGGCTTCAATACTTTCTAAGTCTACGTCTAACCAGTATGAAGGTCGGGAAAGTCAGAGGAAAATCAGAAGTGCTTGTTTTTGGTCAGTGACTATAAGCATGGCGGCCAGGTTGCCAGTCATTTCAGGAGGAAAGCTCAGCCATGGTGGCCTCCATATTTATCTCAAGATCAGTATCCCTTAAGAGCCCCTAGAAAGCCTCCATATTTCTCTCATGACCAGTGTCCCTTAAGAGCCTCCAGACTGCCATCATGCATGCCTTTGGCCTGGTTCACACCTGGGCGTTTTACAGCGCGTTCCTACGCGCTGTAAAACGCTCAACATGTGAAAACTAATAATTGCCTAGGGACATGGTTTCCACCTGGGCGCTTTACAGCGCGTAGGAACGCGCTGTAAAAAACGCCCTACGCCCAAAGAAGTACAGGAGCTTCTTTGGGGCGTATTTGCCGCGCGTATCCATTAGGATACAGCCGGATAGCCCTCTGAAACGCGCGTTTGTCGCGCGATTCTTTTACCGCAAATCACGGTAAAAACGCACTACAAACGCGCATATTCCGTACGCCCAGGTGTGAACCCAGCCTAAAGCATTTTCATGTCCAATGTTTCAAATATATCTGATTGAAAATTAACCTAAAATTGAATTTTTTTTTTTGAATATAAATAGAATACGTAGAAAATCATGACCTTTAAGAGCCCCTAGAAAGCCTCCATATTTCCACCATGACCAGTGTCCTTTAAGAGCCCCTAGAAAGCCTCCATATTTCCACCATGACCAGTGTCCTTTAAGAGCCCCTAGGAAGCCTCCATATTTCCACCATGACCAGTGTCCTTTAAGTGCCCCTAGGAAGCCTCCATATTTCCACCATGACCAGTGAACCTTAAGAGCCTCCAGATTGCCATCATGCATGCCTAAAGCACGCCACCTCTTGGTTGCAAGTGGTAAATATGACATATTCATGGCCAATGTTTCAAATATATCTAATTGAAAATGAACCTAAAATTGAAATGTTTTGAATATAAATAAAATCCGTCGAAAATCTCGGCGTGGTCCCTTTTAATTGAAACCTTTGGCGGTAGCCATTTTCAGTGTCAAGCGTGCGAGGTCATTGTTCCACAAGTGCGCGGCATTTCTGAGCTGATGAGCCTCTCCGGCTCGGCATTGTTGCTGTGACCCCGGTGGCGGCCTCTCCTCTTCATCTAATGAAAGCCGGGCTCTCGCAGTTCCCCCGCCGCCGTCCCTTGTAAATACATTCTCATTTCCCCCGCCGCCTGCGTTTATTTTTTCCCGGATGAGTTCCCTGCCAGCGGCGGGCGGTTATAGAGCCCAGTCGCCGGGCCGCATTATCTGGGAGATGGTATCATGGCTGGACATGTCTTTGCCCAATCAAAGGCAGTTTAAAGATTACGGCGTGTCAGCAAAAGCCGATCGCCTCCCTCCGGGCGCCTCCTCGCTCGTAATCAGCCGCTTAGATCTCTCCTCGCCCTGCCGCCATCTCCCCCTCTCGCGCCTAACACCCTGCAGCGGATGCTGACGCACACTTAACTTCGCCTCGGCATCCAAATTCATTATTCATAATTCACGATTCCTGGCAGGGTGACATTTCGGGTAAAGGGTTAATTTTCCACTTTTGGAGATGTTTTGGGAAGTTTACCGGCACGTGCGACGGAATTACAACCAGACATTTTCCCATTCTCCCATCTTCTGTCTTTTTGGGGTTTTTTTTTATTTTCAATTTAAAAGAAAACTCCGCTTTATTTTTCCCCATTCCTCGTACAACTTGCAAGATAATATTTTCTACAAGATTCTCGTCGTTTAGACTTAAATAATATAAAGAAATAAATCCTTAAAGGATGGCCAGCTGTCACTCACGCAGCTGGGTGGATCTCGACAGTAATGTCGGGATCCGTCCCGGCTGTGGTGGTCTTAGTATACCGCGAGCTGTAGCTCACTACATACTGAGCTTGGGGTCACGGGAGGACGCTAGTTTGTGTCCTCTCGTTACCCTGAGGAGAACTATGGGGAAAAACAATTACCCCATAGTTCTCTTTTAATCTGTTTTCTTGTTAGGTACCTTTTTTGAGTTGCGTTGTTCTAACCTTATGACTTGCTACAGAGTTACAATGTTGCAGGCTGATTACTGGGAATTGGGAGACTGAAGGAATGCTTCCTCCTGCCTGCAGCAGACTGATCACTGGGGGGAGGGGAGACTGAGGAAATGCTTCCTCCTGTCTGCAGCAGACTGATCACTGAGGGGAGGTGAGATTGAGGAATTGCTTCCTCCTGCCTGCAGCAGACTGATCACTGGGGATGGGGGAGATTGAGGAATTGCTTCCTCCTGCCTGCAGCAGACTGATCACTGAGGGAGGGGAGACTGAGGAAATGCTTCCTCCTGCCTGCAGCAGACTGATCACTGGGGGAGGGGAGATTGAGGAAATGCTTCCTCCTGCCTGCAGCAGACTGATCTGAGTTTTTCTGAAAAATGATACAGTTGTTGAATATTGTGATCTGTCAGTATGGAATTGCTGCAGATTTGTAAAGTCACTGAGAGGGATTCATGGACATGAGGCTGCTGTAGTAACTTACACCTCTCTTGTGGTCTCTCCCAGATTGCCGGTGACATGTTATGTGCCGATCAAAACTTTGACATCGCCCAAGTGCTGAAGTTCTTCAAGCTGAAGGTAATCTTTGTCAGCAGATGGCTGGCAGCAATGTTGGCGGGTTCCATTCGGATACAAATCTGTCTTAAAGTGTTCCCATCGCTCGGTGAATAATATACAATGTGTCTTCTTCCTATGATTATCATTCATGTGATGTTGTTGATTTTGCTGCAGAGCGGAGAGCTGGCAATCTATTATGAGCTGGAGGAGGGTGAGAGCAGCTCTTCGAGGGGAATTGTGGAAGTGTGCCCGGACTCTCACAGGTGACATCCCAGATGCTCAATACTGCCTGGCATCCTATGCCGCCCTTGTTTGTGATCCCAATTATCTCTCTAATTGCCTTGATTTTGGCTGCGATTGTGAAATTATGTATTGCTGTTTGTGAGACTTCTCTTGTGCTGTAACTTTTCTCTGGAACATTCACCGATGTTTCACTCAACACCCATCTATTCACTGTAGATTATCCCATTCACTTATCACCTCCCCTCTAATGTTCTTCTCTAAGATCCATCAGTTACAGACAGGAACTCCCGAGACAATGAAAGACTTTACCCCAATAGCTCTTCCTTCTGTATCCTCCCTTATACCCTATTAGATTGTAAGCTCTTCTACCTTCTGTATCCTCCCTTATACCCTAATAGAGTGTAAGCTCTTCTACCTTCTGTATCCTCCCTTATACCCTAATAGAGTGTAAGCTCTTCTACCTTCTGTATCCTCCCTTATACCCTAATAGAGTGTAAGCTCTTCTACCTTCTGTATCCTCCCTTATACCCTAATAGAGTGTAAGCTCTTCTACCTTCTGTATCCTCCCTTATACCCTAATAGAGTGTAAGCTCTTCTACCTTCTGTATCCTCCCTTATACCCTAATAGAGTGTAAGCTCTTCTACCTTCTGTATCCTCCCTTATACCCTAATAGAGTGTAAGCTCTTCTACCTTCTGTATCCTCCCTTATACCCTAATAGAGTGTAAGCTCTTCTACCTTCTGTATCCTCCCTTATACCCTAATAGAGTGTAAGCTCTTCTACCTTCTGTATCCTCCCTTATACCCTAATAGAGTGTAAGCTCTTCTACCTTCTGTATCCTCCCTTATACCCTAATAGAGTGTAAGCTCTTCTACCTTCTGTATCCTCCCTTATACCCTAATAGAGTGTAAGCTCTTCTACCTTCTGTATCCTCCCTTATACCCTAATAGAGTGTAAGCTCTTCTACCTTCTGTATCCTCCCTTATACCCTAATAGAGTGTAAGCTCTTCTACCTTCTGTATCCTCCCTTATACCCTAATAGATTGTAAGCTCTTCTACCTTCTCTATCCTCCCTTATACCTCAATAGAGTGTAAGCTCTTCTACCTTCTGTATCCTCCCTTATATCCTAATAGAGTGTAAGCTCCTTCACCTTCTGTGTCCTCCCTTATACCCTAATAGATTGTAAGCTCTTCTACCTTCTGTGTCCTCCCTTATATCCTAATGGATTGTAAGCTCTTCTACCTTCTGTATCCTCCCTTATACCCTAATAGAGTGTAAGCTCTTCTACCTTCTGTATCCTCCCTTATATCCTAATAGATTGTAAGCTCTTCTACCTTCTCTATCATCCCTTATACTGTGATAGATTTTAAGCTCATAATAAACTCACTTGCTGTCTATGTCTCACAAGGATCACACAGTTCCTGGAGAAGCCCAAGCCAGGGGAGTCGTCCTCCAGACTGGCCAGCGTTGTCTTCTACTGTTTCCGGAGTCAAACCTTGTCCACGCTGGAGACTTACTTGAACGCCTTCCCGAGCACTGAGGACCGGGTTCTGGGCAGATATATGGTGATTACTATTATTCTTGGTACCTGAAGCATCTCACTGGGCTTTAGAAACCTTAATCCCAACTGAGGTTTGAAGGCCAGCCTAAGACCAGGTTTGTTCACCATTATGGTATTGATGGTTTCCAGGAAGACACCATAAGGTCAATACTTAGTAAAGTGGATGGGTAGTGGTGGACCCTTGGACCTTCTATGGTATTGCAGTGGTGTTTGTACAGGAAGTTGGGTTACCGAGCTGGCAGCTTCTTCACCCCAAAGGATTCCCACAATTTCCTTGGTTTGTAGTGTAAGACAATGGATCTGAGATGGAGACACCACATCACAGGCTTATAGTCCAGATACAATTTTATTCCAGTGTAAGGTCATATAGAAGATCAGATGAAGAAGAAGCCAATGCATTTTGGAGGCCCAAAATCACCCACTTTATTGGGGGTAAGAAGACACAATAAGGGAGTATTTACATTTTTCAAATTTTTGGGTTGGACTTCTATAAAATAACTACCTGCAGTTATCTAGATGTTCTGTGACCAAATCTGATGGGACTTTACAGTCAAAGGAAATTGTAACTGAACAGACAACTTGTGGTGTGGAACTTCTATCTTGGATCCATTGTCCTGCAGTGAGGTCACAGCGAGCTTTGGTTGGAGTTGGGCTTTAGTTAGTCATATGCATTGAGGTCACATGAAGACTGTCATTGCTGACCCGGCCTTCTGAAGATTCTAGTTTCCCGATCCTGTGACTTCAGTACTTTGAGTCACGGACCAGAAACACAGGAAGTTCTGACTTTTCCAATCTGCGTACTAGTTCTGTGTCCATGCTTTAAACTATCGAAGTCAGGGACAGAAAGGAATTAAGGATTTTCAGATGTAGGTCCGTATTCCTCCAGGTAGGTCCCCCAGACTCGATCCGTCCCCATAGCAGACCGGTGACATAACTGCCTCTCATCTTCCCGCTGTCTACGCAGGAATGGCTTATCAACATCACCAGAATTCCCGTGTTCGGGATGAAGCTGCCCACAGGATTTCAGCTGATTGGACAAGTGGTGAGCAAATGTTTCTCGATGTGTCAGCACTGGTTTTTGTTGCCGGTATTATATGACAGTGTCTTTGTGCAGGGATTACCGGATTATACCAAGTGGTTGGCTCATTACTCCACCATGAAAAGTGAACCCCGTGTGAAATCGATTACTTGCCGTTCATATGCCAGGTGAGAAATACTAACCCCGCCCACAGACAGGGAGAGTCTGCCTGTTGGTCAATCAGGCAATCGGGGCATGGGTTCTAAGTGTCATTTGGTCTTCACCAGAGCTCCTGAAGGTGGAGACGGGCCAGACACCTTAGTGGTTCTGGGTTACTACACTGCAAACTGTCACCAGGTCACTGCCCTCACAATCGCCCCACGAAAGGGGTGGTAGTAGTGCAACAAGTACGGTGTGAAAACTGTACACAAGGCAGCAGGCAGGAGAGTAGTCAGGTCCTGGCAGAGGTGAAGGCAGGTGGCAAGCAAGTGGGTAGTCGGGTCCAGGCAGGGAATGTGGCAGGCAAGAGAGTAATCAGGTACAGGCATGGGTCTAGGGAGGCAGCAAGCAAGAATGTAATCAGGTCAAGGCAGGTGGCAAGCAAGTAGGTAGTCTGGTCCATGCAGGGAATGTGGTAAGTGAGAGAGTAATCAGGCCCAGGCAGATGGCAAACAGAAGAGCAGTCAGGCACAGGCATGACTCTAGGCAGGCAGCAGGCAGGAGAGTAGTCTGGTCAATCCGGGTCAGAAACAGTCCTGAAAGAAATTTGTGTTCTAGATCTTTTTGTAGAAGGCAATGAAGACACCCTCCAAGCCAGTGAGCACACCCAGTATCAGGGATTGCATGCCAACGCATGCAAATCTTTGTTTGCACCGACCATTTTACCTAAATCTGCTCATGAGATTCCTGCTTCCCCCACAGAATCGGGATAATCGGAAACCCTTCAGATGGCTACTACGGAAAAACCATCTCCATGACTATCTCCAACTTCTGGGCGGAGGTCACCATCGCGGAAAGCAAGAAGCTGGTAAGGACCGTTACATAAATGTCATCTTCTCTGGTAACGAGACGTCATCGGGCGAGGAAGGTGACCTTTTGCAGCAACGGGAAATACTTCTGGAGGATTCGAGAAGGAATCCGACGTTTAGGGGTCTGCGCCCCCTTCTTATGCTGATTAACATAATTGTAAAAGATAGATCAGCACAAGGTAGAATCATAAATACATGTTACATATGTTACTTGTATGTATCTTCCATTACATTTCTGACACTTTGTTTAAAAGCTCCACATCATAGGGAAGGAACGACGCAGTAACAAGTTGGTCAGTTTGGTGACAATTGGCGTTGGAAAGAAAAAAAAGTCTAGTTTTGGAATTAAAAAAATGCAGCAGTTTGTTCCTGTGTGTAGCACAACGGGTTCCGTCAACCCAAGTTAGCGATCTCAGCAGTATCCGGATTTTAGGCTGCAGTTTTTAAAGGAACGTTTGTGAATGTAGCGTGACAGGTCATCTTTAATCACTGTCCTGTGCCTGCACTGTGTCACATTATCCGCATGTTTTAATCCAACATAGTGATGATTTATTTTGATATTTTGTGTATTTTTTTTTTACACATCATTTATTTTCCTGGATCAGGTTTTGGTGCCTCATCCGTTGAATGACCCGACGGAGTTCGGAAGTTTGCTGGACCTGTACTACATAAGCCGGAAAGAAGGGTGAGGATTACTGTATGGTAAAGGGAATGTACGGGGGTTTTTACATATTTTTTTTCCCCCCTCAATTATATTAATTACTAAAAATAATACTGTAAAGAATTTGTATTCAATTTCAATTCATGTGATACATTTCCTCTCAATATTTCATGAATACCATCTGCAGGCAGTAGGTGGCGGGCTCCTCGCAGCTTTCTACAGGCTGAAGACACTGCTGGCGCTGTAAAGTAGACCGGGAGTGCAGGGAGATCATGCACAGCTGGATGACTGTAGGGCAGTGGCATCACAAGGGGGGTTACACACTATGAAGCAAGAAGCAGAACCTGCATGTGTATCAATCAAATATGGTTGCCCCCATGTACATTTAGAATTACGAACCACAGGTATAAATAAGGTTCATAACGCTCACATTCCGGAGATGATCTAAAATAAGCCATCAGGGGCAGGGCCCTCCTCACCATCTTGTCTTGTAATGTCTTCCTTATATTGTAAAGCGCTGCGCAAACTGTTGGTGCTATATAAATACTATGTAATTATAATAAAATTTTCTCTAAAGAAGACGTAGTCGGAACATGAAAAGGACATTTCAATCCACCTTTCCCCTCCGTAATGTAACAAAATGTTTATTGCCTTCAAAGTTCACCTGTGTCTGCAATGAGCTCAGTTCTGGGCCCGTCAGTGCCGGGTCACGGCGCCAAAATATAATGTGAATATAAAGCCAATTGTTTTTTTTTGTGGTTATTTTATTAAATACAATATGGAATGGACAGAACTTCAGTCTGTTACTATCTTCTTCCCTTCACTTCCTGTCCAAGAGATACAACAGGGAGTGAGGAAAACAATGTAACCAAAGTGATCTTCTCTCAGGATCACACCATGGCGGATTTTTCCACGCTGAAATGCCTACAATCCCATATATTCCTAAGGGGACCGTTCATGCAAGCACGGGCTGCCGCACGACCCGAAACGCCTGCCACCCAAAATGCTCCCTGTCACGCTGATCAGCGCGTTTTTAGACTTTTTAAATTGCGTTTCAGCGCTGAAATGCGCTTGCAAAACGCCATTTCAAAAATCGCGCGGAAACCGTGCTGAAACACTGTAGCCTTGGTGTGAGTGGGGCCTTAGACAGTTGCCTTTAGAGCAGGTGTCCCCTTTGGAAGATTCTGTTCTGGTGACAACTGTAAAATTCTGCCTTTCTCTCCCAGGGGGAATCTTTTCACCTGACGAGGGGAATCCCTCCATCCAAAAGCAGAAAAAAAAGTTTGGGTTGCAGATGAACTTCATCTCTGTCTTAGGAGAGCTGCGAGACGAGTAATCTGATTTCCTGTTCCCTCAGGTACCTGGGAGGTCTGAGGCTGCTGCAGGCCACGTGCAAAAAATTTTACCAATACTGCTCGGAGAAAGGGTAAGTACAGAGAATTGTGACAGTGCGAGCGCACGCCGGCGACCGGAGATACCGAGAAGTTTTATTTCCTCAAAATTGCAGCAAAAATTGAGGAATATTAATTGCACCATTTTGGTGAAATGCAGCCGATGAGGAAGGCGAGAGCTCAGCGTCTGTTTTTTATAATTCTGTAATAGGAGGATTCTAGTTCGCTGGAAGACATTCTGGATTCTTAAAGTGACACTGAACTCCGGAGATAAATCCCAAAAATACATCGAAATCCCTGAACTCTGAGCAACAATATATCTTATTTGTGTATCACTCGGCTGTGGATCCTCCAATCATCTCTGACACTGTCCTTCCTTCTGGAGGGGGGCTACGTCTGTTCCCCATGTAGGGTTGCCACCTTTCCTTCAAGTGAAACCCGTACACCCTAGCGCCGTGTGCAGCTATTTTTTTTTGGGGGGGGGGGGGGGAATATAGAGCAAGAGAGCGATGAGAGGCAGCTAGGGGAGGGAGTAAGGAGGCCGGCTATAGCGGACTACAAATCCCAGCAGTACATTATACAGCAATACAAAATAATATGAAGCCACATACTCTGTGTTGTTCCGGGGTTGGGCCCTGATGTCTGCAGTGTCTCAGGTGGGCTCTGGGGGCTCTCAGATGGCTCTGTGGGGTCTCAGGCGGCTATGTGGGCTCTCAGTGCTTTCAAATGGCTATATGGGGTCTCAGGTGGGCTATGCGGGTTCCCAGATGGTTGTGTGGGGTCTCAGGTGGGCTATGAGAACTCTCAGATGGCTACGTGGGGTCTCAGGTGGGCTATGCGGGTTCCCAGATGGTTGTGTGGGGGTCTCAGGTGGGCTATGCGGGTTCCCAGATGGTTGTGTGGGGTCTCAGGTGGTCTATGCAGGCTTTCAAGAGTGCTGTGTGGTGGTCTCGCCTGAGGTCCCTGCACTTGCTGGGGACCTCGGGCGCCGCATCTGTCAAACAATGTGAAGTGCCGATATCGGCGCTTGGTGTCTTGTGTTCGGGTGTCAGCTGGCTTGAAACCCGGACACAAGACACAAAAACCGGACTGTCCGGGTGAATGCCGGACAGGTGGCAACCCTATCCCCATGGTCCCCGTGTGTGTTGTAAAGTAGTCACCGCTCCAAGCTCACTCCCGGGATGGACTACAATCCCAATCAGTAAACTAAACCTGAGATTGTAGTCCATCCCGGGAGCCACTTGTAGTCTCCATCGGACGGTCATGTGACCGGGTGACATCTCAGAAGCACAGTTGGGAGACAGCGACAGAGCGTTGTCACCCTATAACAGGAAGTGCCTGAACAAGGACCTCCGTGGCGGGATCACCGGGGATTGTTGTAATGAAAGCTGCAGATGTAGTTGGGGCGTCTCTGAGATTTTACACCCATCGGACAGATGACAATATTCTCCTGTAGCTCCGCCCTCTTCCTGTGCTCTGTCTTGTTTTATTGGAACGCAAAGTAACAACATAAAACAATTACGTCTTTTGTGTTTCTTTCCTCTGCAGGGATTGGCCGGCAGCAGGTGAGTCTATTTCTGTTTTCTTTCTTCATATAACAATATAAGTTTCTGCTGTCATGGAGCATTGGGCGCTTCTTGTGCTCTGCTCCTGCACGAGCTTTGATGTCCACCTGCGAAATGTCCAGACACAAGGTTTGTAAGGGTGTCGGGTACTTTGCATACCAGCTGCTGTCTCTTTGCAGGGAAAAGAATTGTCTGTTGGCTGTATTTATCCATTTCTATGGCTCTTAAGCTGACAACAACACTCTGCTGGGGGGGCGGGTCTGTGACCAGGCTGTACCACTTACCTGCACTGTGGTTGGCAGGGAGGTCCAGGACCAGGCTGTGCATTGTAGTCTATAGGAAAAGCCCAGGTTCTGGTCCTTATTTTAGGAGCCGTTCATAGACACTGTAAGCAAGATTCACAGGGAGAGTACCTAATCAGCACACTTCCGCTCCCTTGTTATCCAATCACAGGCTGGGGGGAGGGGTCCGTGACCAGGCTGTGCATTGTACTCTATAGGGAAAGTCCAGGTCCTGGTCCTGATCTCAGCAGCTGCTCATAGACAGTGTAAGCCGGAATTACATGGAGCAGCAGGGCGCTGATTAGGTCGTCCCTGTACTCACGGATACAAGGATGACTTGATCAGTGCACTTCTGCTTGTACTGATTACCTGCACTGTGGTTTGGAGGGAGGTCCAGGACCTGGCTGTGCATTGTATTCTATAGGGAAAGCCCAGGTTCTGGTCCTTATCCTAGGAGCTGTTTATAGATACTGTAAGCAAGATTCACAGGGAGAGTACAGGGATGACCTAATCAGCAAACATCTGCTCTCTTGTTATCCAATCACAGGTTGGGGGGGCGGGTCCGTGACCAGGCTGTACCACTTACCTGCGCTGTGGTGTGCAGGGAGGTCCGGGACCTGGCTGTGCATTGTACTCTATAGGAAGAGTCCAGGTTCTGGTTCTTATCTCAGCAGCTGCTCATAGACACTGTAAGCCGGATTCACATGGAGCAGCAGGGCGCTGATTAGGTCGTCCCTGTGCTCACGGATACAAGGATGACTTAATCAGTGCACTTTTGCTCCTTTGTTGTCCAATAACAGGCTTGGGGGGCGGGTCCTTGACCAGGCTGTACCCGCTTAACTGCACTGTGGTTGGCAAGGAGGTCCAGGACCAGGCTGTGCATTGCCCAGGTCCTGGCTATGATGCTGGCAGGGGTACCTGGATCACAGGACTGGCTGAGCAGACCTACACACGGCTCCCATGTCTGCCTTTCCTCCGTGTATTCCCCTATTTGTCCATAATGAAGCGTTTCTGAGAGCGGAGTGCCCCAGCCTGACCCGCGTTCACTCCGCGCAGGGGAAGACGCGGCGGAATCCATTGTATCATTTACCTAAATACATTCTGTAATAGACTTTCCCTTTTCTGGAGACGATAATGAATTTGTGCCGCCGGCTGCGCGCTATCTGCATTTTAATAACATCGGAAAAACCTTCGGATTGTTTTCCCATCCAATTCTCTCCCGTTGCTTCGTTTTTATGGGCGAATTAGGCGCTCGCGACGCACCCCCCCGCTCGCCCCGGACGCCGGCGCCCGGCAGCGCATTTGCAAATTGCAGTTTATTATCCGGCGGGCCGCCTTTCTGGGGAAACGTGATCTGGGTTTCCCGAGCCCTCCGCTCCGCGCGCCAATCATTCGCCCGCCGCCCTGCAAATGCCGCTAACGCATTCATGAGCCGTCTCCTCCTCGCCGGCCATTTAAATTTAATTGCGCTCTTTATTAGGTCGTTTCCGGGACTGATTGGAAACGTTTATTGAGAAACGCTGCGGCGCGGGCTCCTCTTTTAACCCCCGCGGCGGCCCGGATTTTACCGCAACGGCGTAACAGAAGGTTTGGTTTTTTTCTTTCTCCAGCGCCATCGTGTCGGCGACCCTGAAATGTCTGATGAAGTTCTACAATTTGACGGATGATGTGAGTCTGTTACAATGTTTCATGATGATGATGATGATGATGTTTTCCTGATTATGGTGGAGAGAGCGAGCGCGCCGCAGATATAGCCGGGGGAAAGCCAACGCGTTTCAGGGGCTCGGTACTCCCCCTTCATCAGGGCTGGTGGGGAGAATACTGTACAAAGGACTTGTAAAAGAGAAGATTTTCAGGTCACCGGTTGGGTGTTTTTTTTATTATAATGATATTATTATGATTGTCAATGTGTCACGGTCCGGGATCAGAAAAGAAATAGACACCGGCACTCCAATAATAAATCGATTGCGTCTATTTATTGACGTACATCAAAAGCAAAATAACACACTTAGTGCGACGTTTCGGGGACACACAGGAACGGGATCAGGCTCGGAGTCCAGTAGCTGAGACAGCAGGCACATTCATGATACAACAGGCCGAGTTCGGTAGACAAGCAGGCGGTAGTGGTGGAGGAGCAGGCAGAAGCGTAGTAAGAGATCAAGCCGAGGTCAGTAGCCAAAGGTATCGGGTATGAAGCGGAAGATGATGAGAGTAGTCGGTGGATCAGCAGCCAAAGGTCTGTACACGGGTAGTAGTATGAGCAGATTGTATCACAGAGGGAGCAGGAAGCAAGATATTGGCAGGAGCACAATTAGCTGGCAAACAGGAAGTGAGGAGGCGTGGCTTAAATAGGAAGTTCAAGGGAGGAGCAAGGAGATCAGAGTTCAGCATCTGATTAGGTTTATCATAGTTCTAGCCGACCTGTGACAATGAGACTGTCACAGGTCGGCTCAGTAGATCGGGAGGTGAGCGAACACATACCGGCGTTCGCTCACCTCTCGATCCTGTCACGGCTCTCTGCCGTGACAGGGGGAGGGGCTGGATTCCCCCATCCCCGCTCCGATCCGCCAGCGCTGACTGGCGGAACGGACGGGGGAGGGGGTGGGTACAGCTGGCGCTGCCTCTAGATAGGCAGAGCCAGCTGTCACTCATGCAGCTGGGCGGATCCAGACATCGATGTTGGGATCCGCTGTGGCGTCTCAGTATACCGCGAGCTACAGCTCCCTATATACTGAGCTTAGGGTAATGGGAGGATGCTAGTTTGTGTCCTCCCGTTACCCTAAGGAGAACTATGGAGAAAAGCCCTGACCCCATAGTTCTCCTTTAACTGAGGATTACACAGGAGATCAGGCAAGGAGCTATCCAAGGTTCTAAGGTGGCTCAGTGGGTAGAACCACCAGCTACAGCAGAGGTCCTGGGTTCAGACCCGATTCCTGACACAATGACTTTTTAGATACAAATGTAAACAAGTTCAGCTCGATGTTAACAACGGTGTCCGTACATGGAAAGGTTTTTGTATGTATGCTTTGTTATTATTCCTCACGGGGCAGACAGATTTGTTTATTGCATAAGTAGTCCCTCCTTACTCCTTTGTGTCACAGCGATTGTGCTTTACTGCTACTTACTCATAATGCCGGAGTCAGGCCGACCCATTGAAAAACAATGCCCTCCCCATGAGGTTACATAGTTAGTCAGGTTGAAAAAAGACACATGCCCATCGAGTTCATCCTATAGAGATACCTTATATCGGCTCCTTTTGTAGAAAACTGTATTCCCAGATTCACACTATTCCATTGCGGTAATACACATCAATGGATGTTATGCACAACGGTGCCATTCTTTCTGGATGGAACCCCAACGCCACCTGCGTTGCAGTGCACCACTTTGGTAATGCGCTTCCATGCCTTCTGGTGTGCCGTGATACTAAAACAATGTTGCTTTATTTTTGTGCATTTTGGTTTTAATACATTTTGAAATTCAAGCATGACAAAGGATTCCCCCGAGAACTGCGGGTTATCTAAAGGGGCAGCACAGCAGTAGCAGCCCGCTTTGTAGCTGACTTTCTCTAATTGAAACTTCAAATGAAACCGGGAGCTGTCATTGCGATGGGTCGTTTCCCGTTCTGTATGTAAATTGCGCACCTTCAGCTACTGAGCTCTGTAAACACCACTGCCAGGCAGGCTGTGGAGGACGTGAAAAGAAGCCCGAAGCCCCTTCTGCAGGATGATGTAAGCATACGAAATGATTCGCTGCCATGATTTCATATTTACCTAACAAAAAAACATTTTTCAATTGTTATTTTTTAAATTTCTGGTCAATAATTAATATTTTTAAACAATATATTTTTTCCCGGTACTCGCCGATACCGAGTACCGATACCGGAAGTCCAATTAAGGAAGCCAGGCGGTGTGTAATGACTCGCTACCCGGCTTCCCGATTAACAAGAAAGCCGTCCCTTGCTTCTCGTCACCTCATGACGGGAAAGCATGGAGCCAGCTTTCTGGCCAATCAGGAAGCCAAACGCCGCGTAATAACGCGGCGCCCTGCTTCCTGATTGGCTGGGAAGCCGGCTCCATGCTCCCTCGTCACAAGCCAATCAGGAAGCTGGGCAGTGTGTAATGACTCACTGCCTGGCTTCCTGATACCGGAAGTATCAGACTAGGCATCAGAGCATTCGGGCAAGTACGAGTACCCGCCCAAATACTCGGCATTGGCACCGATACCGATACTAGTATCAGTACATCCCTAGTGACAACACTCTGTCCCCGTCTTTCAGTTGTTCCCCTGTGTTGTCACCCTGTCACATGAGCTTCTGACAGAGACAAGTGGCCTAACACACATTACACATTTGTATCAACCTAAAAAAAAACTTTTTGTGTGATTTACATTTTTTTTTTTATGGCTGTGGCACTGTTGTCACCACCAGGAAACCCGCCCTGAGAAATGCCATGTAGCCGTCCCTGGACTGCATGTAGACAGGAAGTGGCTGCAGGAGATCAGTGGCACCGAGATGTATTTAAGGATAACAAAATCAAATTGCATTTTATTTAAAAAACACGCCATTTGTTTTTTCGGTATTCAGAACTTTATCAAACCAAATGTCATTCAGTTACCGTTTACATCTTTAGGACGGGAGGAAATGTGAGTTGCGCTTGTCAGTTTGCTCCCTCTGGTGGTTAATCTGTAAATTGCTACATTTCATGGAAAAGGAAGAGCGAGGGTGTAACAATGTAACGAAATAAAGATTTTAATGTGAGTTCTGAACTCAAATGAATCGGATGGACCCCCATTTAGGCCTCATGCACACAGGAATCGGGCGGCACGTACAGCTCGGTGCTGCGTGCACGGCCGCATCGGGCAGCTCCCGGGAAGGACGGGTGCTGCGTGTGATTAGTACGCAGCCCCCGTCCTTCTCCATGGGATTACGCGGCCGTACGCCGCCCTACGCTCACCCCAAGTGCAGGTCCGTACGGGTGCGGGTGTCCTGGCTCCAAGTACGGACACCCGCACCCGTAGAGAAGGACGGGGGCTGCGTACTAATCACACGCAGCACCTGTCCGTCTCGGGAGCTGCTCGATACGGCCGTGCACTCAGCACGGAGCTGTACGTTCCGCCCGATTCTCGCGTGAATGAGGCCTTAAAGGAGAACTATGGGGTTAAGGCTTTTCCCCATAGTTCTCCTTAGGGTAACAGGAGGACACAAACTAGCGTCCTCCCGTCACCCTAGGCTCAGTATACCGCGAGCTGTAGCTTGCGGTATACTGAGACGCCGCAGCTGAAGCGGATCCCGACAATTGTGCCGGGATCCGCCCAGCTGCGTGACTGACAGCTCTTCTTAGAGTACAGGAATTTGCAAAACTCTTCGGCGCCATCTAGGGGTGCTAGTGCCGTGCCATACGCTGGGCTGAACTTTTATACATGAAGTCCAAGGTATGCGCTCATTAAACCTTTATATTATATTACATTGTATCAGCGCATGTTCACGTTTTATTTCTTTTTCACATTGTTGCTGTTTTTTAGGATCTTCCGAAGACCGTGCAGCCGAATTTCATTCTGGAAGTGGAGAAGGAGGAGCTGTTCATCACGGCCGGATTGCAGGACCGAGTCGTTCAGGTGAGAAGACAAACCTGCCGTTTGATGGGCCTTTATATGGTGAGCTGTGTACAGTATTAGGCTGCAGAATACAGATATTGGGGACACCCAGTCCCTACCTTCATGACATGGGATGGTGACTACCCACTGACATAAAACAATTCCGGGGACAACCGATCTTTTGTGTAATACTTTCATAAACAGCAACAATGTGACAGTCTCAGATCCCAACACTGCCATCACAATGTGACATATGGTGCTCTAAGCCTCACCCAATGCAGAGATTTTTCAGCCTGCGAGACAACAATCTGAGCGTCCGGGGTCTGAGAGTGATCGTCACCGGGGCGGTTACATAGTTAGTCAGGTTGAAAAAAGACACATCCATCATGAAAAAAGACACATCCGTCGAGTTCAACCTGCCGTTACCTCTTTACACACATAGACCCACACATTTTACAGGAAACACTCACCATTCAAAGTATCTGCTTGTAGCAATTCTAACCTTTCAGAAATGTCTGTGACACTCACTGCCACGCCAGGCAGGAAGGTAACGGAGTTTAAACTATGCAGCCGTCAGAGAGGCAAGGATCCTTTCATTTCTAGGTTAGTTTAGTATTTAGAGATAACGGCTTAAAAATATTGTTTTAATGAAAGAAAAGAAAAAAGGGTGAAAAAAAAAACAAATGACAGAAAAGAATATTACAGAAGAGAAACTGGCAACAGTAAAGTAAATGGAATCAAACGAGAAAGGTCATTAGCACAGGTGGTGTTGTCTTTGGTTCCTGGGCAGAGTCCAATTGGCTCAGATTAAAGGAGAACTATGGAGTCAGGGCTTTTCCCCATAGTTCTTCCCATGGTCACGGGAGGACACAAACTAGCGTCCTCCCGTCACCCAAAGCTCAGTATATAGGGAGCTACAGCTCCCTATATACTGAGACTGCCGCAGCCGGGACAGATCCCAACATAACTATCGAGATCCACCCAGCTGCGTGATTGACAGCTGGCTCTGCCTATCTAGAGGCAGAGCCAGCTGTACCCGCCCCCTCCCCGTCGGTTCCGCCAGTCAGCGCTGAAGGATCGGAGCAGGGAGTGGGGAATCCCTGCAGGGAGCCGTGACAGTCACCGCTTACTGCCAGGACAGGATCGAGAAGTGAGCGAGCGACAGTATGTGTTCGCTCACTTCCCGATCTATTGAGCCAACGTGTGACAGTTTAATTGTCACAGGTTGGCTCGAACCATGAGGATGAGTGATTTTCACTCACCTCATAGTTCTCCTTTTAAGTCCAATTCAGAGTCACTGGCCCCCAGAAATGACTCTCGGCACTCCAGCATCATTTTGGTGGTACAACGAGAGTTCCGGCTGACCGCTGCAGCAGCTTTTCTTGATCTCATCGATATTTCCGGATGGCCGCGTTTTACACTCAGACAGCCAACGTTTTATTGCACAGAATATAATCATGAGACGATGTAGATCGCAAGTTGTATCAACAGGATGTGCACATGGAATAGGAGATGTCATGTGACCGATCGGGAGGCTGGACATCGGTGTGCAGAATAATAATACATTTCCTGTCCTCCACATCTCACTATGGAGCCCCATGAACTATGACATCGTAATGTGACGCGTTTTGTCCTTTTGCAGGTTTATGAAGGTCTCATCTACATGGACTTCAGCAGGCCAGTCATGGAGGAGCAGGGCTTCGGTATGTGTTACACTTACTCTGCAGAGAGACTTGGGACTTCCCACACTGTGCGGGGATGAGCAGTGGAATCACTTTTGGTCGAGACATATTTTGGTGTATTTCGGGTCATTTCGTATATTTCATAAGGCGGCATATTTATTCAGCAGTGAATGTGACTTTCACCAAACACTCACTGCAGTTGAATCACTGTCATTTAAAACTCACGTACCAGGAAGATTCCCCTGCGGTAAATGTTTGGTGAATGTCACATTCACAGTTCTATAAATAGACCCCCTCCTGTTATGTTTTTGTCTTTTTGCGTGGGCGCTGAGCTGCTCATACATTTGTTGTTTCTGAAAACGTGTGTCGGTAGCGTAGACATGACACACAATGCACTTTCACTGACTCCTCCTCCTCCATACGACTCATTCTCAGCTGCCGTGACCTGATACAATGTATCTTTCCTGCAGGAAATTACGTCTGTATGGACAACGGCTGCGCCCCTCCGTTCTGGCTGGCCTATCTGCGGGATCCGAGCGATTCTGGCGTGATCCACAACAACGTCCGTCAGCGATGGCTGAGCGGTGAGTGTCTGCCGGGGGGGCTCCACTTGTATTACATTACACACAGCATTGAGCCTGCACCCCTCCCCCCCCCCACCACCATTCATCGACCCTTACAATGGGAGCATGTAACAAATAAATAGATATAACTGTGTTCAGGTTGCAGAGATTGATGAGCGTTCCTGACATTTCGGGGCCATTCCCGGGGATCGGGGGTGGGGATGGATGCTGGGGATTGGGGGGCGATGGTGGACGCTGCGTTATGATTCAGCGTCTTCCCTCTTGCAGGCGATCCTGAAGTTACCGAAGCCATGAAGATATTTGCTGAGCTGACGGATAAAGCAAAGTAAGTGTCACACTGTGACATTTCCACCTGTGTGCAAAGCCCCCAGATAGAAGCTGTGACGCAGCCTGGAAGTCATAGAGCAGCGCAATCAGGAGCTGTGGCTCTGACGACTGGGGATGGCAGCTTCCATCTGAGGCTTCTGCCATGACGCCATTCCTATTAGTATGTCTATAAATGATGATTTTGTCTTTTCAGGGCAGCGATAGAGCGGAAGAATTGGACCGAACTGGCGGAGCTGATGGACCGGAACCTGGAACTGCGGCGGTAAGGTGGACCGGGAAGGATGGAGAGAGGAGGCGGAGCCTGGTGATGTCACCATGTTATACTCGGAATATGAGTGTAATATGGTGGGAAGGGTAAACCGCCTTTAAGCTGGCGGAAAATGCGCTTCTCCTGAACATTTCATTACCGCAACCGCGTTCACTCCGCCCACTAATGACATCACTCCTCCACTCCAGGTCCATATTCACAGATGCATGTCTGGGCCCCGGGAACCTGCAGATGATCGAAATCGCTAAACAGGTATTTTCCCTTTTTTATTATATGAAATGACCTCTGACCCCACGACACAGACAATGCCGCCATACACCGGTCACCCCCAACCCGGTCTACCGGCAGCACCGCGGCCGGCCTGTCTCTGACCTTCTGTTACACTGAAAGGAAGTGAGGACGAATCTCCCCAATGGGGACCGACAGCGACAGGAAAACAAAAATGTAGAAACTTAGAAGAGTGATGGCAGAAAAAGAGCAGGCGGCCATTTTTGTTATACTTTGTGTCGATTTTTGATCTTTTTTTAAACCGTTCTGTCTGAAGACCAATTGGGGTTTTAAACCCTTTTGTGCCCAAACATGAAAACCATTTGTAAACCAGTTCTGGGTAGTTTTGCATTTTACTAAATTGTGTGTGTTGTTTTTATTCATTTTTATTAAATTTTTATTAAATATTTTTATTTTTTACTTTACTTTTAGGATCTTCGGGGAAATATTAGGAATCCCCGATATTTCCCTTTTAAAATAGAATAAGAGATTGGGGATACAAAGTCCTCAGAGACACACAGAGTTCTCAATCTCTTTTTCTGCATCCCCTGTTATCAATGATCAGGAATCCTCTGTGCTGAGTGTTCCTGATCATTCATAACATGAGGACAGAGTATGTTTACTATATACAATCATGAATGAACAGGAAGTGATGTAGAGGTGAGTGATGTATGTCACTTCCCATTCATTCATAATTGAGGATATAGTAACCATACTCTGTCCTCAATTATCTACAAACACTCAGCGATCGCTGATCACCGACTGCTTGTACCCGCTCTCTGACACGCTGTCACAGGAGGCTGAGCGAGCGGTGCAGGGAGGAGAGCTCAGCCTCCTGTGTCAGCGCGGGCTGTCTCCGCCCCCACACCGCTCTGTCGGTCTGTGATAGGAGGCTGAGAGATGCGGGGAGGAGAGACGCCGGCCGCTCACAGCGCTCTCCTCCCCCAGCGCTCGTCTGCCTGTGACACATTCTCTCCTCCCCTCTGGGACACAGAGCAGCGCCCAGCGGGGAGGAAAGAAAGCGCGGATGCGCCGCTATATTGGCAGAAAAATGGCACTTTCAGCATTTAGCCAAAAGTGCCATTTTTGGCCGATGTGTTTCGCCGGCCGATATATCGGTGCATCCCTAATATATACAGCCGCATACATTACATACTGTAACTTTGTGTCTATGTGTGTGGTGGTGAAGGGGAAGCAATTGTAACATTGTATCTAGGAACGCACCGATACTGTTTTTTCGGTACTCGCCGATACCTGTGCCGTGTGCCACGATGATCAGGAAACCAGGCGATAGATCATAACCAGCCGCCCAGCTTCCTGATTGCCCGGGAGGCCGGTGTCATGTGATCTCCGGACGCCGTTCAGAACTCTAACGCATCCTAATTTTGTACTTCTGTTACGGACAATATAAAATTTGCACTTTGCCGAGTTTTCGTGAATCGGTTTTCTGATCGTTAGGCCTTCAAACTTCGTAAATGTCTTTTCAGCACGGGTGCGCGGTGAAGCTCCCGGGCAGCGGCGGCGCCGTCATCGGTTTATGCTTTGACGCCAAAACACTGGTGAGCTCGTTGTCCTATTACATTTGTGCTTTCCATAACCCCTGTCGCAGGACTGACCGTCTATTTCTGTATGAAGGTCGAGCTCAGGAAATCGTACCAAGAGGCCGGCTTTGTGTTCTGCCAGATAGCCCCTTACTGCCCCGGAAACGCCAACGCAAAAAGCGAGCCATCGGAGAATTAAAGCGCCCGGCACACGTGTACAAAGGAGGTCGCTGCTTGGAGTAGAGAAAGATTCAGGCTACAAAATCAACGATGGAGGCGGGGCCTGTAAGTGCCTCATACCTCACCCATGTCTCATATGAATATTATGGTTATGGCGGTTTTTTGGGCTCAAATTTTGAACAAACTGTTGTCTAAGCCCATAAGAAGTGGGAGGGCCTTCCCCCAAAACGCGTTGGCGTTCTATGATGATCTTACATTTTTTAAATAACATTTGTAATGGGCGCTCCTGACCCCCACTCCCCCACAAAACCTGCTTGACGCGATCGGCAGTGCCCCCCCCACCC